CCCGCAGGGCCGCGGAGCGCAGGCCTGACGTCCGCTGTCTGCCCTTCTCTCCGGTGTCGGGTCTCAGGTGGCCGGATCCCGTTACCGGCCCGGACATTCGGTCTCGCTGAAGAACACTTCCCTTTATGTCTCCCTGTGGTGCAGACGATCTACATGGATGATGGTGTGTCGTCTTTCGTCCAGATCAGAGGCTCGGTTCCGCTGTTTTGGGAGCAGCCAGGGCTCCAGGTAGGTCATAAAAAGTCCGTGCACGCGTGTTACTGTTCGTCCTGCCTTCTCCCCCACACGGCTGTGGTTTCTTTCCACCATGTTCTTTCATGGCAGTTTCTGGCCTTTTCCCGCAGTGCAATTGGGTTGAGCCCGGCGTGTGTGTGTGTGTGTGTGGTGTGTGCGGAAACATATGCATTGTGTGTAATTTTCCGATCGTGAGCTCACTGTTGATGCACCTGCAGTGGGGAGGTCTTTGCTGACAGGGAACTGTGTAGTGTAATTGAATAGAATCACCTTGTTAGCTCCCAGATTCCATACATGAGAATGTGTTAAAGGTGTTTGGGAGTCGTGACTGTCCTAGAGAGCTTTGTGAGGGCCCCGGGCCGGGCAGCGGGCGTGGTTGGCATTGCAGGGGCCCGTGGTGCGGCCACGTGAGAATTGCACAGAGCCTTCTTGTGGTTTCTAAAAATACCCCTGCCGCCCACAACAGCGCTCGGGCCAGCGCCGAGGTATTTGGCGTCTGCCTCCTGGGGAGAGATCGAGGGTGCCGTGTTCCAAGAGCATATTTGTTGTCCACGGACTGGCGCTGCCTCGTTCACTGAGTTCCTACCCGAGGCGGGGGGGCAGCGCCACTGCACGGGGTCCTGAGGTTCCTCAGCACCATCCGGACCGTCCACCATCCGGACCGTCCTTCTGGCCTGAGGGACGTTGTGTGCTCAGCAGGCCTCTGGCTCCGGGTGACCGCGGTTCGGGTGACTGAAGAGGCTCAGGGCCATCTCCCGGTGCGTGGGGTGTTTGACAGGCCTGGGTCTTACTGGCCCTTGATTGACCCCGTGTCACCGTAGGCGCTTTCTCCTCCAGTCTGTCGTCACGCTGCCGTGGGCAGACACGTCAGCTCTGAGAGTGAGATGGACGGATGAGCGTCATCTGGGCTCAGTTCTGGGAGGAAAAGCCTCTCTAGCATCCAGCCTGTCCATTAGGAAGGAATGGCTGAGCCGGCTGGGAACAGCTGGTGGCAGGAAGTGGCGGCAGAGCAGCCTCCTGAGCATGATTATAACGTGGAGAATCCCCTGGCGCGCATCCCACAGCGGGCGTGTGCAAGAGCTGGATGAGACACAGATGACATACCATGAACCTCGCCCGTGCAGAGCATGCGAGCCAGTGGTTCTCGTGCGTTTACAGAGCCGTGTAGCCATCATGGAATCTAATTTTAGAACATTTCATCACAGCTAAAACCCTGTGCCCGTTCTCTGCCATCGCTCCCCAAGGCCGAAGCAGCCGAGTCTCCATAGAGGGCCCCCTTCTGGCCAGTCCACAGAGTGACACTTGATTTTCTTTAGATTTGGAGATTTCCCCCTGAAACTTCTGGAGCTCTGCAAAAGGAAAGAGGGAGACCACGTTTAAGAAATCCCCAAGTTGGGGGGATGGTCATGACAGAATCCTAGTGTTCGGGAAGGCGCTGTGGAATTTACCCACTTCCCCCGGGGCCGCGGTCCCTCTCCCAGGATGTCTGAGGCTGCCTCCAGGTGCTGAGCTGGAGGCCACGGTGTGGGGCGTCTTCCTTACGGTGCCCTCTGTCCGTCCAGGTTATACGGCCCCAGAGCGCGTCTGGCTCTGCAGACCGGCCGTCTACAACCATGTGTCTGGGACCCTCCATGTCTGGTCTCCCTCTTCTAAAAACAAAGCAAAACCCATTTGTCGTTCCCTCTTTAGTTCTGGTCTCCAGTCTGGCCTCCCTTGGTGCAGCCTGACCAGCTGTGGAGCAGCTGCCCCTCAGCCTGACAATGTCAGTGGGACCTGGTGCCCCTCAGCCTGACAGTGTCAGTGGGACCTGGTGCCCCTCAGCCTCACAGTGTCAGCGGGACCTGGTGCCCCTCAGCCTCACAGTGTCAGCGGGACCTGGTGCCCCTCAGCCTCACAGTGTCAGCGGGACCTGGTGCCCCTCAGCCTCACAGTGTCAGCGGGACCTGGTGCCCCTCAGCCTCACAGTGTCAGCGGGACCTGGTGCCCCTCAGCCTCACAGTGTCAGCGGGACCTGGTGCCCCTCAGCCTCACAGTGTCAGCGGGACCTGGTGCCCCTCAGCCTCACAGTGTCAGCGGGACCTGGTGCCCCTCAGCCTCACAGTGTCAGCGGGACCTGGTGCCCCTCAGCCTCACAGTGTCAGCGGGACCTGGTGCCCCTCAGCCTCACAGTGTCAGCGGGACCTGGTGCCCCTCAGCCTCACAGTGTCAGCGGGACCTGGTGCCCCTCAGCCTCACAGTGTCAGCGGGACCTGGTGCCCCTCAGCCTCACAGTGTCAGCGGGACCTGGTGCCCCTCAGCCTCACAGTGTCAGCGGGACCTGGTGCCCCTCAGCCTCACAGTGTCAGCGGGACCTGGTGCCCCTCAGCCTCACAGTGTCAGCGGGACCTGGTGCCCCTCAGCCTCACAGTGTCAGTGGGACCTGGTGCCCCTGGGTCTCACAGTGTCAGCGGGACCTGTTGCCTGTTCTCCGGCAGCTGGAGCACCTTTCAGATCCTCACACCAGTGCTTCTCCAGAGTCTCCGTGCGTGGTTCCTTCAAAACACATTTCAAAAGGCTTTGTGTCTGTGAATCTTATGAAGGATGTGCTGACCTTTGAGTCTGATGGGCACGTGCATCCTCCAAGTACCATCCATCCTCCAAGGGGAACTGGGCTGCTCCACGGGACCAGCAGGCCGTGCTCATGGTGGGCCTGGCCTCCCTCCCTGGATGTGTGAAGAGCAAGCCTGGGGATGGATGCTGGTTGTCTCTCCATGTGGACCTTTCCCCTTCCTTCTTTGTTTGGGTTATATTATAAGCACAAATATGTTTGGGTGAATAGCTTGCATTTTAAGTTGCACTGGTGCCCCCTCTTTGGGCTGCCCCAGGGAACCTATGAGCCTTGTGGGCCCAGGGTGGGATGGGGGATGGAGAGGGGGGTGAGCATGGGCAGAGAGGACTGTGGGATACTGATTCCTGTGCGACTTTTCATAGGAATGGTACCCTTGTTAGGAAGTCCTGGATCCTGAGGCCATTTCCAGCAACTGTGTACCTTTCACAGTTCCATCCCCACCATGGCAGTGGGTTGCACAGTTTATAAACAGCCACATGGAAATTTTACCCCTAAGGCTAATTGCTCTCCTGGAGTGTCAGTTATAGGGTAGGTCTTTTACATACTGTGTGTCTGTTGAAGACTTTGCCCCCCTTGTCACTTAAGAACCTCCCTCCCCCCATCACGTGCACACAGGGACCACGTCTTGCACAGGTGAGTTAGTCTGAGTTCTGAAGCTCCCTGTGCCGCCCCAGCCGGGGGAGGGTGCAGGATCGATGAGCGCCTCTGCTGTTCCCACCCGGCCTGCGTCCCCCGCCTTCCCTGTCAGACTGCTAAGCTCTCGGATGCGTCGTGCTGTGCTCATTTGTGTGGTCGTACTTTTCTTTGTTCCAAAATGTGAGATGGCTTGTAGAACAACAGTTTCAAAAATGATGAAGAGGTTAGGGTGAGGGGAAAAATACTTACAATGAACATGAACTGGAACCGAGATAAAGTCGTGGACGCGTGTTGTCCGTGGGTCTTGCGTGCTTGTCTGAGTGTAAAGCAGCCGTCACAGAAACAAGATCACTTATCCTGTGATTAAGAGCCTAGAGCCTTGAAGTTATGCAGACCCAAGTTCTAGTCAAGTTCTGATTCTCTTAGGATCCATGTACTTTTTAAAATTGAATTTATTGGGGTGACAGTGAATGAAATTATACAGGTTTCAGGTATACGGTTCTATAAGACGTCTGCATTGTGTGTTGACCTTCCCAAGTCGGGTGTCCTTCCATCCCCCTGAGTACCCCCTCTACCTTCTTCTACCCCCCCCTTTCCTCTGGGCATCAGCCCACTGTTGTCTGTGTCCATGGGAACCACACATTTGTGAAAAGTCTAATCTCAAAAAAAAAAGTTCTTATCTCAGAAAAATGTACTTATCTCAAAAATATTATCTCAAAAAATGTTCTCATTTCAAACAAGAAGTTCTTATCTCAGAAACAGTAGAGAAGTTCTTATCTTCTAAGCCTCAGCTTCCTCTTCTGTAAAATGGAGTAAACAATACCGACCTCGGGGAATGGAGAGGATGAAATATCGGAATTGAGCACGGTATTTAGGACCTAGAAAGCACTGGGAATGGTAGCTATTAACATTACAAACGTGAATTATAACATCTAGGAGGCGAAAGCTCAAGTTGCATCGCTGTTTGCCTCTGGCAAGGGAATGAGTTCCCCCTGCGCCTCCGGGCGGACCCCGCCAGGTGCAGTGGCAGCGTCCTCACGTCTCTCAGGATGCAGCACGGACCCGTCTTCTGGGCTGTTCCACCCGTCTTCCGGGCTGTTCCGTCTCGCAGCCCTCAGACACCCCAGAGCAGGCCGTCTGTTTGTCCCACAGACACTCAGAGAGCATCTGTGGATGCGCGAGGCAGAGCCCCTGGCGCCAGATACTGCATTTGGGGAGGAGGGGCCGGCATGACCCTGTTGTGTGCATAGAGCCCAGCTTAGGGGAGGGGTCTGAGCTCACTTGGGAAGGACAGGGCAGGACCACCAGGCACGGAAGTCAGGCCTGGCTGAGGGAAGGCGTGGTGCAGACGTAACCCCTGAGTTCAGTGCATCTGGTCTGGCTGCCTGCAGTCCTAGGAGGGCCCTGCGGGAGGTGAGACTGGAAGGCAGGCAGGACCAGGTCAGATGGGCTTCTATCTTCTGCTGAGGAGGTGACAGTTTCCCCAGGAGCTGCCGGAGGAGTGGTGCCCAAACGTCGCTGCACATCAGAATCACCTGGGCAACTTCAAAGCTCCTGGTCCCCAGATTGCATGCCATCCCAATTCAATCACAGTGTTGGCCCTGGCTGGTTTGGCTCAGCGGATAGAGCGGCAGCCTGCGGACTGAAGGGTCCCGGGTTCGATTCCGGTTGGGGGGCGCATGCCCAGGTTGTGGGCTCCATCCCCAGTGTGGGGCGTGTAGGAGGCAGCCGATCAATGATTCTCTCTCATCATTGATGTTTCTATCTCTCCTCCCTTCCTCTCTGAAATCAATAAAAATATATTAAAAAAAAAATCACAGTGAGGAGGTGGGAGCCAGGCATCAGCCCTTTCTGAAAACCCCAGGTAACTGCAATGTTCAGGAAGGCTTGGGAGCTACTCAGGGGTGTGCTGATAACCCAGTTTTCTGAGGGCCAGGAGGGAGAAATCCCATTTGCAGCATTTGCCCATTACTGTAGTGTAAATACTCCCATCATGGCTGATGTCAAGCCACCAACTTGATGTCCCGGAACTTGGAGCTGGTGTGTGAGCTGGTAGCAGTTGGCTCCAGCACACGCTGGACCACTGCACGGAAGGGTCCCAGAGGTGGGTGACATGATTAGCTGTAAGTGTGATAGGGTTTAGTTTGGGGAGAGAAGACGGAAGGTAAAGACACCAGGTGGGAAGTCACAGCGATCCAGGTAAGACGCTGGCAGCCTTAACTAGGGGAGGGGCAGTGGGTGCCAGAGGGATTGGCAGACGCCCTTGGTGACTGTGGGGCCCTCTCCAGGGCCGGTGTGGGCTCAGGGCTGACACACAGCCAGGCGTCCTCGAGTTCTCGGTTATTCTCATGGCCAGTGCCCCTGGGTGTGTGGTCTGTAGGATTGAAGTGACCACTTCAGACAGGAGTGATTGTCCAAGCGTCCACCTGGCCAGGTGGAGGGGGAGGGGGATGGGTGACGGAGAAGGAGGGGAGGCCCAATAAAGCATCACAGTCCGTTCCGGTTGCCGGTGCCAACCATGGCTTCACTCCAGCCCTGACTGAAGGCTTCCGACACCTGGTGGCCTCAGGACTCGGTGCCACCAGAGAGGACAGACTAGGGTCAGTGTCAGAGGAGGAGGCAGGATGTGAGGCCTGAGGCAATGAAACGAAAAGAATGTTGGAGGAAGGATGACCTCCTGAGAGAATGTCCAAGGAGGATGGGTGAGTGCAGCCTGAGGCCAGGATGTCTGGAGAGGCAGCCAGGGGCAGGCTGGGCCTGGTCACAGGGCCCTGTGGCTGCGCAGGTGTGAACACAGCCCCTCCCCACCACCCCACCCCCCAGCTGCTCACTTCCTCCCACCTTCTCTGCTCACAGGCATTTGCAACCTGAGCTAAAAGGGGATGGAGGAGGAAGATGAGTCAAAACCAGTGCTGCTCAGACTCCAGTGCTTGGGCACACGCGGAGACACGTGCAGACATGTGCACACACATGCACACGCATGCACACACATGCAGGAGTCACCTGGGCGGCTCATTAAACATGGTGCTGTGGGTCCAGGGACCACACTTTGAGGACTGCTGGGGTCAGGGATCCTGACTGCCCTGGTCATTCGCTGGGCAGTGCTCTTGACTTCTTAGTATCCCCAGGTGGGTTTGTGGTCAGCAGTGACCTTGGACTAAGTGCTGTCGGGGACAAAACATGCCTTCGGTGGTCCTGCCTGGCCCTGTCCACCTCGCTCCAGTCTTTCTCTGGTACCCCGTGCTGTGTAGGCATGGATGTCAGGATGCGCTCGCTAACTCCGTCCTGGACTGGTTACGCAATTTGTCATGGGACTCAGGTGACTTTTATAGTGGGAGGTGTTAGGTTAGGTGGCTCAGGAGGCGGCGCAAGAAATAGAGAGTCCAGTGAATCAGAAAAGAAAGGAAAGGAAAGTTTATTCTGCGTCCCCGGGAGACCCACGTACCCCCAAAGACAGGGCACGTGGATTCACGCCAACATGGAGGGAGGCGCTTTTTTTATACTGTGGTTGGGTGAGGGGCGGGGACATGAGCTGAGGTATTCAGCTGAGGAAGTTTCAGCTGCAGGGGGGTCAGCAAGGTATTCAGGAATGAGTCAGTATCTGTGTGGGGGTATGTGGATTCAGGGAGAAGAAGCCGGTATCTGTGTCTGGCACGTTGATCTGTGAGAAATTCCAGGGGGAGTCCATTGTCTCATCACATGTCTGCATGTATCCGATCCTGGGCTCTCTCCGACCTAACAGGAGGAATTCAAGCCCAGAGGTGGGACACTCCTGGTGCGGTCATCCGCGACTGAATTCTACCTTTATAGGAGAAACAGCCGTGGGCTGTGACCGGGGGGAAGGGGGCAGATGTGTCCAGTAATAGAACTGTCACAACTAAAATCTAGGCCTCTGAGCCCTGAGCCCAGTTTTCCATCCTCCCCTTGCTGCGTTCCCATGGGAACGAGTCTAAAAACAGCCGCAGTATCCCTGAGGCCGGGAGACTTCTTGCCATGACTGGCAGACTAACAGACAGACTGACACAGCCCCTGCTCTTGGGGATCAGAGGGTGGCCGAAAGGATCCCATTTCCCGGTGCCTTCCTTGTAAATCCAGAAGGAAGACAGGAGCCCACTTGCTTGGGGAGCAGGGCAGAGCGTCTTCTCAGAACCCGGCTGTGAAAGTGTTGGGAATTCAGCATCTCATTTCCTCAGCCAGCTGGTGGCGGCCGTGGAGAAAGGGGGCAGCAGGAGCTCAGCCACCAGACGAGGGCCTTTGGCTGGAGCCTTTCTCCAGAACCCCAGGGTTTCGTCGGACCGAGGGATGGGGCTTATTCATAGACTCAGTCAGATGGGCCAGCCCAGCCCCAGCCTCCTCTGCATCCGGCCGGAAGCCGGCTTTCTGGACGGCTGCTCTCCTCAAGCTCGGAGAGGGACACAGGTGTTACCTGCGGGCAGGCGCTGTGGAGTGACACTTGGTACATATTTGTAATAACTGCATCCGATCATCCTGGTAGGTCTAAGGACACGACTTTCATAATGTGCGCTAACGGCCCAAGCTAAGCATGCATTTGAAGAAACTTTTATCTTGAAATAACTCCAGGCCTACAGCAAAGCCAGACGAGCAATAGAGAGAACTGTGTGTCCTTCACCCAAATTCACTGTCACCATCTCCACATACACAGACACACACACACACACACACACACACACACATATGCACGCGCACACGCTATTGCTTCTTTTCTGAGTCAGTGAGAGGAGTTGCTACCTCGTGTCTCTACCTACTATTATGTCAGGACGTTTCTCCTAAGAACAAGGACACGCTGCCATCTCCACGGTGCAGGCACACATTCCGGAAGTGTCACACGGATGCAATACCGTGATGTAACATGCAGTCCTCGTTCTGGACTTATCTGTTGTCTCACGAGTCCTGGTGGCACTTTCTCCCTCCAGGCCAGCGTCACACCTGCAGGCAGCGTCACACTGCTCGTCTCCTTTAGTCCCAGCAGTGCCCCCTGTCTGTGACGAGGCGTTCTTGGGGAATGCAGGCCTTCTTTCCCTTCATCTTATCAGGCTCAGGGTGTAGATCCCTGACGCCACGTCCTCCTCGCGTGAGCCTCTGTCCCACATCAGCGATGCTAATTTTGATCACCTGGGCGAGGAGCTGTTCCGTTTCTCCACTTAGTGTGTTTTCCTTTTCAATGATAAGCAGCCTGTGGGTGACGCTCTGAGACCAGGCAGGTGTCCTGCTCCTCGTCACTCTCCCCTGACGGATCAACCCCGGATGTTTGCTGAGCAATTATTTACTATAGTGCTTGTAAAATGACGATTTCCCACCACTTCCTCCATTAGTTAGTACTCCACTGAAAGGAAGAGTCCTCCCATCTGCCCCATCCACCCACCCTCCGTCCATCTGTCCACCCCCCACCTACCCAGCCATCTACCTATATGCCTGCCTATCCATCCACCCACCCACCCATCCACCAACCCTCCTACCTGCCCACCTACCCACTCACCCAGCCGGCCAGCTGTCATCTGTATTCAGGGGTGGGGGTACCTTTTTTTCTGCCAAGGGCCCTTTGGATATTTATAACATCATTCTCAGACCATACAAAACTATCAACTTAAAAATTAGCCTCCTGTATTTGGTCAAACATTTAATTGACTCCCCTCTCATGTCTGGGCAGGGCCAGGTCAAATGATTTCTCGGGCCTTTCACGACCCGAGGGCCAGATGTCCCCACCCCTGGTATGGACTCATGGATTCCTGTTTTACTCTCCAGGTCACAATCCGTTACTGTCCTCAAATTGTCCCAGAAATGTCCAGAGAGAGCCCTTCCAGCTGGCTCAGTAACCGCACGTTAGTTTCAAGGTTGTTTTTAAACTTTCAGTGTTTAACAGGTAGCTCTAAGCAACAAGACGCGTTAGTTTCCAGGTAGCTGTAACTCAAGCGTCCTCGTAGCTGCAGAGGATGCTGGGACAGTGGTCTCTCTCCCACTGGCTTAGCTATACCTCTCACCACAGAGGGATTTGTGGGTGTGATGCAGGCCTCGTGGTCTTACCCTGGAGTTTCTCCTCTGTCTGTGGAAGAATGTGAGTGGCATGGTCTGCACTGCAGCTCAGATGGGGCCGCAGCAGAGCCCCACTCGGGCTGCGGGACCTGAGTTTGGGGCCTGGCCATCCTGCACTGGGAGGGGCCACATCGGGGGCTGGGAATGGGCCGCTGGAGGCCGGGCTGGCAGAGAGGGGGAGTGGGGACCACTTCGGGGTTCGCAGAGCAGCAGGAGTCACGGGGTTGTTTCTCTTTGCTTTAGGTTGGCTCGCATCATCTGAGACTCAACAGAGGCCTGGAAGCCAACGCCCCTGCTTTCGACAGGTAAGGCCATCTGACACCGTCCTTCTGTCATCCTCAGGGGTCTCCCTCCCACCAGACAGCGGTGCAGGGGACAGCGGGAAGGGAGGCCCCCAGCCCGGCGTCTGACCTTGCCCTTTACTTTGGTCTTTTATGCAAAAGGGAATTTCCAAAGTGAGGCTGTTACCTGCGCTCAGGTTTCCCTGAGGCTCAGTAATAAATGCTCAGGTAGCGCAGGGGATTGTTTAATCCTACCAGTCCCTCCCGTGGTGAAGCTTTACCCCCGCGTCCTGGTTAACAAGGGCTCCTCTGAATCATGGGGTGTTTGTAGCCCATGTGTATATGTGTGTGTGTGTGTTTGAGTTCGTTTTAAAAGTAATATATTCCCAGGTCTGATGCCACCACATAGAATAAAGTGAGAAGTCGCAGTACCCTAACTCCCAGTTCTCACTACCAGAGAGTCCACTGTTGGCTTTTTTGTATCGTTCTAGGAAAAAGTTGGCGTATACATAGTTCACGTTTTAAAACACAAATTGGACCATAACACACTAAATATTTTGCAACTTTAACCTGAACTGTTAGTACTTTACACTGAACTATTAACTTGAACTTGAAGCATTAATAGCTCCCTAAAGTATCTGCTGTTTTAATCTAAATACTAAGTTTAAAAATTATCTTAGTGAATGTCAGAAAACTTCAAAAAGTGATTTTGTGTTTTAATCACTGTGCCTGAAGCTTCGTTGGGACTTTAAACTTGTTTGCAGCCGTCTCGTTTTACCATAACCTGGTAGCACCAGCCCAGCTGCGACCCCTCGTAATAGCTTTTCCTGGAAGGAGATATGTAACCTAGTAGGGAATATGCTATTGCCTTTTTTCTGAGCACTATTCACGTGTCTACCCGTGGCGCATATGGACTTCTTTTCACTGACATTGATCTGCATTAAATGTTCATAGGAAATGTAAGAGAAAATGCAATTCCTCCTGAGCTGGCCAGAGTGTGTGTGTGTGTGTGTGTGTGTGTGTGTGTGTGTGTGTACGTGGGAGTACAAGCCCTCTCCTTTCTTACACTCGCTTCTCCCCTCAATCTAAGGATAAACTCAATCTCTTCTTCGAATCCCCAAACACCTTTCTGAGGCCGTAAGTCCTTTAACAGGCAGCTCCCACTTAAAATTCTGGCTTGCAAGGGTTTTCTTTTTTAATGCTTCTAACCCCAAAGTTTGACCGGACTGTGCCCCCCTCCCTCCCGCTGGGAGGAGCTGCCTGTCTGTCCTGACAGCTGCTGGCTCGTCGCTCTCATTGGGCCACAGTTTGGAAGTGAGTGTCTGGGAGCGAGGTCACAGGTTTCTCTCACAGACCGAGATGGGGCGCAGTGGGCCCCCCGGAGGAGCAGGGCTGTGTCACCCCCTGGAGAGGTGCCCCCAGATCTCTGAGTTTCTCAGTTCTTTGATGTGTTTGGTCCAGAGTAAATCCCTCCACCCTCCCCCACTTGCAAAATCCTTTCCATGGGATCCTTTCCAGGGGATCCTGCTGTCTTGCTTCCCTGGTTGCTTGTTGTCGTTCTGCCATCTGCCGTGCCTGCGGAAGCGGGTGTCTCCAGCAGGCCTTGGGCTGCCGCTGCTCGGGGTGTCGTACAGTTTTGATGACGGCGTTAGCCTGTCACTGGGCGGTGCCCGGTCTCACTCTGCAGGATGGTGACCCACTCCATCTGCCCTCTCTCGCTTTGCACAGACCTGCTTGTGTCTGGACATCAGGGAGGGTTTAACTGCTGGCCCCTCAGTTATGCCCTGGATTTGAGAAGGATGCTGCCAAGTGGAAATCTGACTCCTCGATGTGCTGGAAAACTTCCGGTTTTCCCAGGAGCGCCACCTGACAGGAGCAGATGAGCTGAAAGGTTGAAAAAGTCCCTAGCGCACGGAGCCACCAATGCCGGGAGGAGCCTCACTCTCCTCACCGCGGTGTGGACTCCAAGGCTCTGTCCCGTAGAGCCAGTGAACTGAGTCTCCGTTTATCAATACAGTGTGCTCTCTTCCTTTTAAATCAAAAGGAAGGAAAGGAAAACCAGCTCCCACGTGCCAAACGCTGGACTCGTCACTGTCACTCGCCTGTTCTCCTCATGCCTGCCCCTCACAGGAGGACTGGCCTATGTGACAGACCAAGGAGCCAGCTCAGAGCAGTGAATGATTCGATCGAGGGTGTATGGGGCCGGTGACATGAGTCATGAGTAACGGTGTTCCTCTCCCAGCCTGGGAATTTGGAGCCGGTGGAGATGTATGTGGGCATCAGACAGCCTTATTTCTGACAAGCTGCATTGTGGCTTGGACACAGCTCGGATGTGTGGCCACAATGGGCCTCCTCACATTTCACCCCGAATTAAGGGAGCTCACTCAGGGCTGGGCAGCTCGGACTTCCCACCAGAGCAGAGCCTGCTGTTCTGTCCACATGTCACACCTCAGGCCAGGACACCCCTTCTCTGGGCAGAGACCCCAAAGAGCCCAGAAGGCCAGGCCAGGAACGTTGCATTTCTTCTGGCAGCTTCAGCCAGGGCTGCACGCCCACAGCTCCAGGGACAGAGCACAGCCTGCAGGAGGCCTGATTTCACTGGCTCATGGGTCCCTGTGTCTTCCCCCAGGAAGGGCTGCCGGGTGGGCGGGGCCGAGGGGAGTGTTGCTCTAGGGAAGGCTGTTCACACAGACAGGAGCTGCCCGCAGACTCAAGCTTAACTCCGCAGCAGGAAACCTGCACTGCCCCCCCTTCAGAATCATATTCTTCTGCCCACTGCCACCCCTCAAAGTTAGTAAAAGAGTGTGCTTTTTTCTCTTATGGGGTTTGGTTCTTTCGTGATAATTAACTTTTTAAAAATTTTGTTTATAGAAGAAACATGTCATTGTAGACGTTTGGAAAATAATGAAATGTTTAAAGAAGAAAATAATTTTTTTAAAAATATATTTTATTGATTTTTTACAGAGAGGAAGGGAGAGAGATAGAGAGTTAGAAACATCGATGAGAGAGAAACATCGATCAGCTGCCTCCTGCACATATCCCACTGGGGATGTGCCCGCAACCCAGGTACATGCCCTTGACCGGAATCGAACCTGGGACCTTTCAGTCCGCAGGCCGACGCTCTATCCACTGAGCCAAACCGGTTTCGGCAAAATAATTTTAAATGACACAGAATTCCCCCACTTCTGACATCATGATGTTTTATCTTCTGGTCTTTCTTCTATTTTTAGGTATAAAGATGGCCCTATTAGATTACAGTTTTCCATCCGCTTTTTGCTTGTGTCTTTTTCCTATGTTTTTTTTTTTTAAACACTGCATTTCAGCATTTCTAACCATTGTTAAAGTTGTAAAGTTACTTTTCAAAAGCTGGTGATAAAAGGTAAACATTTGTCTCTCCCTAATATTTCAACATATGTATTTTTAAAATATATTTTTATTGATTTCAGAGAGGAAGGAAGAGGGAGAGAGAGAGAGAGAAATATCCATGATGAGAGAGAATCATGGATCGGCTGCCTCCTGAAAGTCCCCCACTGGGGATTGAGCTCACAACCCGGGCATGTGCCCTTGACCGGAATCGAACCTGGGACCTTTCAGTTCGCAGGCCGACGCTCTATCCACTGAGCAAAACTGGCTAGGGCTCAACATATGTATTTTTAAATGGTCTCTGATGCACAAATAATTTTCCTAAAGACTGAGATTTGGTTGTGTCTCCTTGTTTGGACCATCGTAAAGCAGCTCTTAGCCCGGCCAGCGTGGCTCAGCGGTTGAGTGTCGACCCAGGAACCAAGAGGTTGCTGGTTTGATTCCCGGTCAGGGCACATGCCGGGTTGCAGGCTCAATCCCCGGTGGGGGCCGTGCAGCAGGGCAGAAGGCAGCTAATCATCTCATGGATGTTTCTATCTCTCTATCCCTCTCTCTGCCTCTCTCTCTTAAAACAAACAAACGTATTTTTACATAAAAAGAAATGGGGAAAAAAATACAGCAGCTCTTAGATAAAAATTGGACCCTGCGGTTGACTGTTCTCCTACCAGGTTTTCCAGTTCGGAGGACAGACGGTACCAAGTGAAACAGATTGATTTCAGAGATAACACACATGGCATTTGTAAGGCTCTGTTCATGCGGGCCGGTGAAGCTGTTCTGGGTTTAATGGGGCGCTTTCTGGAACGTCCTTCCTCTCGTGTGCCGGGTTTGTTCTGCCCTTTCACGGACAGGCCATCCTGGGCCTTCGTGCCCAGCAGGTCCCTTCCACATCCTCTCCCTGGAGGCGGGGCTCAGTCTGCGTCCTGGTGGGGGTCACGGTGCCGCCTGCTCTGTTGCAGGCATATGGTCCTCCTGAAGGAGCAGTATGGGAAGCAAGTGGTCGTAAACCTGCTGGGGAACAGAGGCGGAGAGGAGGTGCTCAACAGAGCCTTCAAGGTAAACGCAGCCCCTTGCCCGCTTCTCCACACAGGGAGGGGGAGGGGAGGGGAGGCAGCCTCCCGCGGGGGCTGGAGACAGTGCAGACCTCACCAGGCTTCCAGCATTACTGACTTGGGCTCCTGATGTGCGAAGTTTAATTTTTGTGAACTGAGAGCTGGGAGAATTTGCTGAGTTGAAACGGAGCATCTCCTGTCTCCAGCTGCATTTCCTCAGAGCAAGCATGTCAAACTCGCGGCCGGCGGGCTGCGTGCCTCAAATAAATGCTTTTTGAGCATGTTTGACATGCTTGCTCTAGAGCAGTGGTTCTCAACCTTCTGGCCCTTTAAATACAGTTCCTCATGTTGTGACCCAACCATAAAATTATTTTCGTGGCTACTTCATAACTGTAATGTTGCTACTGTTATGAATCGTCATGTAAATATCTGACATGCAGGATGGTCTTAGGCGACCCCTGTGAAAGGGTCGTTCGACCGCCAAAGGGGTCGCAACCCACAGGTTGAGAACCGCTGCTCTAGAGCTTCCACTGGGGCCTGGAGACTCAGGACAGCCCGGCCTTTTCCATCTTCTTGGATGGACACGCACACACCCACACACACATACACACACACACTCTCACCCACACATGCACGTGCACACACTCACCCACCCCCTCATCCGCCCACCCACACACCCATACACGCACACCCACACACTCAGCCATACACGCACACACAAACACATGCACCCACCCACACATGCAAACGCGTGTGCACGAATGTTTGGGCTTTGCCCATGCAACCCCTCCTTCCTTGGTCTGTCTCCGCTGCTGGCAAGCTCATGCAAACACCTGCAGGGCCCTTATGCCTGGAGTGGCTCTTCAGAGCTCCTGATCGGCTTTAGGCAAGAAACCTTATGTGATTTCCTCCTGCTCACTTGGAGCCTTCAAACCTTCCACTCTTGCTTGGGCTGCCCCTGAAAGCTGCTGCCTGTGTCCGGCTGCCCATGGCTCCCTGGGGCTTCCCTGTGCAGGACCAGGGAGGTGTGGGGAGAAACCCTGAGCAGGGGAGGAAGCAGTTGGAGCGGCTCTCCCCCTCCCCCCATCTCTCCCTGTCCCCAGAGTTCCCGTATGTATTCAATCTACCACATGAAAAGCTCCAGAATGGGCTGTGGGCACCTCCACGGTCCCTTTCCAATCACCCGCAGCCCCCACTTAATGGGGAAAGCCCTGGTTGTTTCAAGATCAGGAAAGCCCCCGATGGAGAGAGTGTGAAGGCAGACCTGCCCCTGGCTGATGGCAGCTCCCGAGCTGGGTGCCCATTTCACTCTGCTTAGGAAAGCCGGGCTTGGAGCAGCCTTTCCAGGTGCCAGTGTCATTTGGCCAGACCTGCTTTTCCTGTTTGGTTTGTTGCTACTGGCAACAAGATTGAGAAATATCTCCCCTCCACCCACCTTGGCAGCTCATTTTCAGGAAGAAGGAAGGAGGGGAGCAAGAACAAAAAAGAGCCCAAGAATCTCTTTCCCTTTTATGCCTTGAGTTCTGGGGAAGGACGTCCCCAGCGACCTGTCAGCAGGCGGAAGTGCCTCTTGGGCTGACGGGCTGTTTTGGCGCAAGAGGGGCAGGAGATGGCAGCGGTCCCGTGGCCCAGGCCCGGGGGGGCGGGGGGGGCAGGCTCCTGGGCAGGTGGGAGGTGAGAAGCTGACATTCCGCCTGCAGGAGACCTGACCAGTGTCGCATGGAGCCCCGGCTCCCTGGGCCCATCAGCTCTGCAATGCTGGGGTCCGTGCCCCACAGCCGGCCTGCGGCCCAGTGCCTATCAAGCCACAGGCAATAGGCGTCTGCTCCAGACAGAGCCACCGAGCAGCACCCTGCTCAGTTCATCCGACTTCATCTCACGGCAACACCTCCTTGACGGTGGCACCGGGCACTGATTTGCATTCTGGCCCGTGGTGGGCGGGTGCTCTGAGTCACAGGACCAGACAGCCGAAGTCCCACCAGTCCTTCAGAGTCCTACGCACTCCGGACAAGTCTGGCCGGGAGCTGTGGGGCGGAGGAGGCCGAGGCCCGGTCCCTGGGCGGCAGCCAGGTCTCCTTCCCTCGGGGCTGGTGAGAGGGCTGAGGAGTGGGTGGCGAGGTTCCTGGTGTGGAAGGGAGGTCTCTGCCAGGAGCCCCCAGAGGAACCCCTGGAGGCTCAGCCGCTTCAGAGCGCACCCACCTGGAGGCTAGTGCCTGTCTAGATGGGGCTGGTTACCAGGCAACCCAGAGCTGGATTATGAGCTCCCAGCCTGCGGGCTGCCCAGCGCCTCAGGGGCCTGTGGCACTTGGTGCCTGAAGAACAGAGTGGCCCTTCCCTCCCCGGCCCCTCGGAGAGCCCCGCAGAGGGGCGATGTCGGAGCGGGACTGGGGCTTCCTCGGCAGCCTCGCCCGGCCTGGCTGTCGCTTGCCCGCGGCGGACCTGCTGTTTGCAAGATGCTCTGTGGGTCTGTGGGCCAGCTGCGTGCTGCCCTCGCAGGGTCAGGACTGACAGGCCGCTTGCTCCGTGAGTGATGGGTTGGCCACTCGGATTCCAGCCGGGAGAGGTTTGCTGCCGGTCTCCTCCCCTGGCCCCTGCCACTCTCACCTCCTCCCTCTCCCCCTTCAGAAGTTGCTCTGGGCTTCGTGCCACGCCGGTGACACGCCTATGATAAACTTCGACTTCCACCAGTTCGCCAGGGGCAGGAAGCTAGAGAAACTGGAGAACCTGCTGCGGCCCCAGCTGCAGCTCCACTGGGATGACTTTGACGTGTTCACCAAGGGCGCGAGTGTGAGTCCCCGGTGAGTGTCCGCCGTCTCCCCTCCCGCTGGGCTGGTGGCGGAGGGCTGGGGGCCCTGGCGGAGGGCTGGGTG